ATGACGTAGGTGGGTACAAATCCTCAAGATGCAAACACCTCCTTTTTTTTCTCTATGGTTATTGACCACGACAAATTCTGTTTCACTACTTTCATTCATTGTTGTTGTGTTTGATGTAGGAAGAAGCACCCACAGTTTTATTGAACTTACCTACTCGTAGAGCGTGTGACTGAGTTCCGTGTAGGTCCAACTGACGGCGGTTACCTTTTGCACCGTGTCAAAATGGATTCTGTTAATTATTTCACCGCTTGTCAGTGTTTCTTCTTCGTGAATTTTTGAATGTAATCTAAGTGAGATCATTTAAACAGGTTCCTCACAACATCAATGAGTTGTTGTGCGTTCGCGTCCGATCTATAACAGTGTGTCGAGAATGGAAGGGAACATTGAGAGAGAGTGCAGTGCTCTCGGAGGATTATTTCAGCAAATTGTAGCGGATATGAAGGTAAGCTCATTGGCCAATCGAATATCTACATTACTCTCTTCATTCAACTTTGAATTCTTCGTGGAATTTTGTATTTGAATGTTCTATACTCTATGATAAGTTACTGTGATGAACACTGAGATCATGTTTTTCATCTTCATCCTTGAGCTAAGCAATAATATCAAGTGCTTTTGAATTTACTCGAATAATCAGCTACATATAATAAAGCCACCTTGACCTGCTGACTCATGAATAAATCACCTAGGTCATAGAATAAATAGACTACGTCAACAGAAGCGAAAGCTCCGTAAGAACCAATGTTAACATTTTTCTGCGCAGATTGAAACCAATTTCGAGGTTACCTACAAATATAAAAGTGGAAAAAAACATTAAATTTTAAGCGAATATACAGTACTTCTTCGGTTTAACGATAAATAAGTTAAAAGAAAACTCTTACAATTCCTTAAAACGTATGTATCCGTTATTATTCGACCTCTCCAAAACCGCAAACGTAAACAGTACTTATTGAAACAGCCTCCTTTCGGTATGCTTCGTTGACATGAAAATGGCGGGGGCTTTCGCTTCTGTTGACGTTAGTCTCTTTATTCTATGCCTAGGTGTCAAAAAATTATTGATGTTTCAATTTTTGTAGACTGAGCTCTACATACCTACCTAGCTATGAAACGAAGGATCACATCTTGTAGAGATGATAGCTTCAGTCTTGTGGCAGATGAAACCCCGTAGTTCCAGCCTTATTGTTCTCTTAAAGGCACTGGGATCTGGGTTAGAAGGAGCTGGATTTTAATGTAATCAGGCTTCATTTTGTATGTCTTTATCTATCTAGCAGCCTGATAGTTGAAATTTATGTCGGCACGACAAGAATCGAAAATCGATATATTACACGGCGCAGATAGGACTATGTCTTATCTTATTGTGCTGACGTAGCCAGTTAAAGTTTCAACAATCCAGCGGGGCGATTATTGAAACTATGTCAGCCCGACATGACAAGACATAGCCCTATCCGTTGCCTACGAGAATGGAGAGGCCGTAACTAGTCAGTTCTGTGACGTCAAGCTAGTAGATATTTACCGAAAACAACAAGCATCTCCGGGTCATCAGTGCATCGATGAGTGAGGCAGTCGCTGCGTGGACCAATCAGAGTCGCTCTCGATCGGCCGAAGTTGCGCGAGCGGCCCGTTTGAATCTGAGTGGAGTAACGATTTTCGGTATTACGCATTCATTTCCTCGATATTTAGACAATGTCACAAATGAACTAGTTAGTTTTCTGAAGTGAAATTTCATCCTCTTTCTAAACGGTTCTTATGAAATTTTGCGTCAGATCAACCCTGAAAGAGATATCGGCGAGAAATCATCGCGCGGCAAGCGTTCTCCCATAAGAACGCGTGTTTAACCGCGGCCGAGTTTCATCTACTAGTGTGACGTCACAGAATCGTAGTTACGGCCTCTCCATTCTCGTAGGCAACGCCCTATCTTAACCATGCAATATATCGCAATTCGATGTCTTATCGGGCTGGTTTAAATTTCAATAATCGGCCCGCAGCTGCAGGTCCAGGTTAAGCCTCCAGGAGTGAGTGGGTAGTGTTTATATCCCTCAAAGAGATTATGGCAGCTTGAACCGCTTGAAGATCTGATCAGCAACATGTCTGCATTTAATACCATTGGTGTGCATTGGTCACCTTAAACTGATAAGAAAACACACATTGTGATGTGCTCTCACTAAAGTCTTGTCAAAAAGTTGTTTTTAAATTAAATTAAGCTCTGGAAGTTTTTCAAAAGTTTTAAATGGTTTTCAAATGGTTAATAGACAAAAGTGATAAATCTTCTCAATATGTTCCGTACACCGGATTCTGCTAAAACTATCCAAAAATCCAAAACTTCTCTAAAAGCAGGGAAGAAATCTGGCATTAAAGAAGATTTATGCGGAAAGTGCAAGAAAAAGGTTCTAAAAGATGAACCGGGGATTCAATGCGAAGGGTGTGATAAGTGGTATCACACAAAGTGCGTTGAGATGTCTGCAAGAGTTTATGACCTTCTATCAACAAGTGAAGCTGAGTGGAAGTGCATTTGTTCAGTGTCCCAAATTAAACCAGGTGACACAAATGGACTTATTCAGCTCTTGCTGCAAAAACTCATCAACCTGGAAGTTACGATCAGTGCAGTTACGGACGTCATAAAGGAATTCAACGATCTTAAGGCGTGTTGTGAAGTCCTAAAAGATAGAAATCAAGTGCTGGAAGAGAAGTTGGACAAAATAGGAAAAAATGTATTGTCTCTATCCTCTAAATTAAACTCACCAGCGAAAGGTTCTAGATTGCCGGAAACTGGTGATAAAGGTGTGCCATACTCCAAGGTTGGCCTGGTGAATGTTCCGGACTTAATTATAATGCCAAACAATACTGATAAGGGTGAGCGTAATGTCCTAAGTGAATTAAGGCAAAATGTCAAGCCGGCTGACATTGAAGTGGTAATCAGGAGTGTGAAGTCTTTGAAATCTGGTGGAGTTGTAATAAAAGCTGATGATCAGGCTGCTACCGATAAACTACATAAACACCTGTCTGAAAAGCTAACTGATGTGTCGATCAAGGTAACTAATCTTCGGAAGCCTCGTATCTTCTTGTCTGGACTGGCTAAGTGTATCTCAACTGAGGAATTCTGTGAGGAGATAAAACAGCAAAACTATGGGATCAGCAATGATGACCACTTCAAGGTACTACACTGTCGGAAGATCAAAAAGACGGGTCAGTGGATGCTTATCGCAGAAACTTCAAGTAAAACTTTTCATAAAATAGTAAATAAACATATAAATATTGATTGGAATTCTTATTTTGTTAAAGAAGACCTTCACCCTATAAATTGTTTCAAATGTGGAGGCTACGGGCACATAGCCGCCAATTGTCGTAGTGAATCAGCATGTATAGTTTGCGCTGGAAATCACACGCATAAGGAATGTAAAAAGAAAGTAGTTAAATGTGTAAACTGTCTTAAATTAGCTTCAAATACAAAGTTAGAAGTTAATGCCCATCATAAAGCGATTGATTTTGGACAATGTGAAGTCTACAGACAAGTAAGAGATCAATTAAAGTGTAGAATTGACTATGGAAATTCTTTACAGGATGGACAGGGTTAATTTTAATTTTAATCCCTTAAGAGAAGAACAAGATCATAGTGCATATGTTCAGCATTGCCAAGTGAAAGAGGCTTTATCAAAGTTTGGACTAAAGATCTTTCACTGCAATGTTAGGAGCTTAAATGAAGAGCATTTTGATAATGTAGTAGTCCTTTTGTGTTCCCTTGGAGTAGAATTTGATGTCATAATCTTTACAGAATGTTGGGCAGATGCGGATATGTTAATCCCTTTCAACTTGGCAGGGTATGAGAAGTTAGGAACTGAAACGCTTAAAAATAGGAGTGATGGTGTTTGTGTGTTTATTTGTGAAAAGTCGATATCTAGATTTGAATGTAGGGACATGAAGTGGAATTCAGCCACTGGCTTGAACCTTAAGATATGGAAAGAAAATAGAGAGTACTCGGTACTCTGCTGTTACAGATCTCCTAGTTATTAAGTGGATAGATTTCTTATTGAACTTGATAATGCTCTAGCCGCTAAAGATTTGTCAAGAGAAAATTGTGTATTGCTAGGCGATTTGAATATTGATTTACTTCAAACTAATAGAGATAGGGATGGTTATGTAGAACTTTTATCTTCTCATGGCTTTGATTCTCTGATCAATGAGGTGACCAGGCCCAATAAAAAAGGAGGAACTTGTATTGATCACTGTTTTGTAAGATCAAAATTGCCAATGTCAGGATTTATTTTAAAGAGTGATCTGGGAGATCATTTTCAGACCCTTTGTGGTCTTGGATCTTGCTCAGGAAAAGATGTGAATCTATATGGGGATCTTCCTTCCTTTCTAAACTCTGAAACGCTTGAAACTGATTTCTCACTCTTAGAAGCCTCCTTAAAAGTAGAGAAGTGGGGCTCAGTCTACGAACAACAGGAAGTAAATGCGGCCTTTGAAGAATTTATTTACACGCTAAAATCACATATAGTGGAAGCATCTTTAAAATCGCCTACAAAATTGAAACTGAGTAAGGCGAAAAACCACAAAATTAAGCCCTGGATTACTCGTGGGCTCATAACTTCCATTAGGAAAAGAGATCGTATGAAGTTAAAGCTAAAAAACAATGATTCGCCTGAGAAAGTTGCAGAATTTAGGCAATATAGAAATTTTACGAATAAGCTGATTAAGCAAACAAAAATTGATTATTATAAATCTAAGTTAGCAGTGGTGCAAGGTAATCTAAGAAAAACTTGGAATTTGGTGAGAGAACTTACTGAAGATAAGAAAGCGAGCGGGATGGTAAAAGCTTTAAGAGTGGATGGAAATCTCATCTCATCCCCTGCAGATATTTGTGAATCCTTTAATAAATACTTTATTAGTGTTGGCAAGAATGTTGGGGAGGAAAATGAAAAATTGCAATTGAAGTCTAATACGGCCAAGAAGTTCCATGTTAAAAGAAATATGAATTCAATTTTTCTAAAACCTATCTTGCCTAATGATGTTATCTCTATAGTAAATAACTTAGGTAACTCTAAAAAAATAGATTACTGGGGTATCAGTGACTATGTGCTGAAAAAAGTAATAGGGAAGATAAGTAGTGTTTTTGCGTATCTATTAAATTTCTCTATTATTGAAGGGTTGTATCCAAACTGTTTAAAAATTGCTTGTGTTACTCCGTTATTTAAAGGTGGTCTATGTGAAGATCTAAATAATTGCAGACCAATCAGTAAAATCTCTGTATTAGCCAAAGTCTATGAAAAATATCTAAAAAAACTACTTGTTGATTTCATAGAAAGTAATAACATTCTTCATCCGAAACAATTTGGTTTTCGTAAAGGCTGTTCAACAGATGATGCCATGTTATATTTATCTGAGAAAGTTTATAAAAACTTAGACAAAGGGCTAAGTACTTTAGCTATTTTCCTTGATGTCAGAAAG